GTTTCCTGGAAAAGGTAGTATTGTGCTTTTATATTTATAATAAATATTTTTTAATTTTTAAAAATTATGTGCACACATGCATGCGCGCATGTGTGTGTGTGTGTGTGTGTGTGTGTGTGTGTGTATGTGTGTACATGTGCATGCCGCAGCATGCATGTGGAGATCAGAGAGGAGAGTGTGTGAGTCAATTCTCACTTTCCACAGTGTGGGTTCTGGGGATTGAGCTCAGTTCATCAGGCTGGGGAGCAAGCACCTTTAGTGTCTGAGCCATCTCACTGGTCCAACATCGTTTTTTAAATTTTATTTTATATTATTTATTATTAATGTGTTTGTGCTTCTGGGGTGCGTGTGTGTGTGTGTGTGTGTGTGTGTGTGTGTTTGTGTGTGTGCACTGTGCAGGCACACACGTGCCACGATGTGTGTGGGGAGGTCAAAGAACAACTTTCAGGAGTCATTTGTCTCCTGCCACAGACACCAGGGATCAGACTCAGATCATCAGGCTTGCGTGCCAAGCACCTTTACCTGCTGGCTCATCTCACCGGCCAGTAAACAGTATATTTACAGACATTCTTGTGAGTTGGTCTTATATAAATGGATTAAACTGTTTGTGTGCCACTTTCTTTTTACTAATTTCTTTGCTAGATGCAAGTCACTCATTTACTTACAGAGTAAGTATTCAGCCATTATACAAAAAGGCCTCAGTTTACTTACTGAGTCTACCATTGGACACTTGTGATATTTACAGGCTTTTTTGTTTCTGCTAGCCAAATTGCTGCTTTGCATGTAACTCCATATACGATTGGTGTTAGAATTCCTAGTATTCACGTAGTATCATTTACTAGATAGATGCTAGTTACTTTATGTCCTAAGAGCCTATTCCCGCCCAGGCTCCAACAGCCGTGAGTGAAAGTTCCTTTTAAAAGAGTCTTAAATTAAATTTGATTTATTGGCTGTGTGTGTGTGTGTGTGTGTGTGTGTGTGTGTGTACATGCCACAGCATGCTAGTGAAAGTCAGAGGACACTCTGTCAGAGCCAGTTCTCTCCTTCCACCACATGGGTCACCACAGACATTGAACTCAGGTCATCAGGCTTGGTGGCAGGAGCCCTCTACCTACTGAGCCTTCTCACCATCTCTATATGAAACTTACTGTTAAATGTAATGTGTCTAGATGTTCATATGTATGAACATCTATGGATGTAAATTTTTAGTTCATTTTTACTTCAATTACCATTTTCTTGGTTCCTACTAACATGAGCATTGACTATTCATGACATTATTTTTTTGTCAAAATATGCCCCCAAGACTTTACCTCATTTTTCTACTGGAAAAAAATCTGCTCTCCACATCAATTGATCAGACTCTTTGTATATTCTGTGAATAAACCTCTCACCACTTTGGTGCATGGGAACGTATTTTTCAAGTATGTGACATTTTTTTCTGGTGATTTGAATTTCTTTGGATCATATTATATGGATTTTTAATTTTTTAAAGAAGTGGACAAGGTTGAAATGATTTTTCTTGTACTCTAATATATATACAAATTTGAGTCCCCAGATGCCCTTTTGTGTGAGTCCATCCACTGGAGTCAGGGTAACCTATCCAGAGTCATACCCTTGAATGACTCGTGTCCTCCCAGAAACCATAAGTTACCAATCGTTCCTTAGGAAAGAGTCTAAATAGGATCAAAATATATTGTATGAAATTTGTAAAAATTTAATAAAATGAAAAATTCTTGTATCATTTTATATATACCAAAGTTCATAAATAAATCCATCTGCATTGTTTCATAAAATTTTAAAGATTTTTGTTCCACATTTTATAAAATTTAACTTTTGGCAACTTCATACAATGTATTGTGAACACATTCACCCCTAGTTACCCTAGCTTCTCCCGGTCAAACTTTGCTGACCCCTTCCTCTTCCACACAGCCCCATTCTGCTTTTAGTTCTTATTTTTTGTGCAGCTCTTGGACGGGTAACCATAGCTGCTGTGTGTTCATGATGGCTTGGGTCATGTCATACCCTGAAGACTGCGTTTCACAGCCATCCTCTCCAGGCTCCCATTCTTACAATTCCTCCCCTATTTTGTGATGTTCTGTGGTCCTCTTTGGCCAGAGGAGCCACTTTGTGCAGTGAGGGACAGTTAATACAGAAACTTATAACTGATCAAAATAGGGAGAATAAAGGAGTGTTGAGTGCTCAACCCTGAATGGACATTTCCATTATACTCATATTTTCCATTGAATAAAATTTAGTTTTTGGGGTGTGTGTGTGTGTGTGTGTGTGTGTGTGTGTGTGTGTGTGTGTGGTGCAGCTTTGTCTAATTATTTTTGGTGAGGATGTCTAATTATCTATGGTTATCTATGGACACACTTTCCTGGAAAGGTGGTGAGCCCTTCCACCATGTTAAATCTTGGCTGTTTTTCTGTTGTCTGTCAAGAATAAACTAAAATATTACCCTCCTGCCCAGCAAATTATGCTGTGATTTCTAAAAATAGCCTCCTCCAGGCCTAATCAATCACATGAATTGCTGTTTTCCTATTTAATATTCATCTGAAATTCATTTTGTGTGTTGTATGTATATGTGTGCATGTGCGTGCAAATGTATCTATCTGCACATAGAGGTCAAAGGTCGATATTGGGTGTCCTCCTAAGTCACTCTCCTGTTTATTTATTATTTTTTATTTTATGTGTATGAGTATATTGCCTGCATGTATGTAAGTGCACCCATGTTTTGAATACCTGTAGAGGTCAGAAGAGGGTGTCGGATTCCCTGGAACTGGAGTTATGGACAGTTGTTAGCCGCCATGTGGGAGCTGGGAATCAAACCCTGGTCCTGGGCAAGAGCAACCAGTGCTCTTAACCACTGAGTCAACTCTCCAGCTCCTCCTGTGTATTTTATTGAGATATTTTCTCTTACTGGCCTGGAGCTCACTGATTTGGTAAGGCTGGCTGCCCAGTGCACTTCAGGGATCCACCTGTCTCCACATCTCCAGGGCTGGGCTTACAGGTGCATGCTGGGGATTTTAACTCAGATCCTTGCACTTGTGTGGCAGACACCTAACCAACCAAGCCATCTCCCTAGCCCTTGCTTTTCTGTTGTTATACTTGTCTTTTTGTTTGTATTTTTCTGTCCCCCACTATCTGGAAGATAAATGCTCAAAGGTTACATACAATGATTTTGTTCACTGATTGATTTCAGGTACCTGGTACCAAGCATATAATAAATATTTTGTATTGAACACATGTGAAAAGTCAGACATGAGGTCAAACACAGCTCCCCACATCTCACATTGATTCTCCCGGATCAGTAGTACAGGGAAAGGGCCTGTCCCATTCCTCTGAATAAGTTGCTGCAGTGAAATCCAGTCCATTTGCAAGTATGAATATCTGGAATAATGCAAGTAAGTCCAAGTTAGTAAGAAAATGGATGTCTGTGTGTCTAGAAAGCACAGTAGGGGAACATTAAATATGTTCAATATGTATAGCTTCCTTCCTTTAGAAAAAACCTTTGGGGGCAGAGGGAATAGCTCAGTGGTAATAGCACTTGCTCTGCAAGCACGAGGATCTGAGTTCAAATTCCCAACACCCACTTAAAAGGCCTGGCATGACTGCAAATGCCTGTAACCCCAGCACCAAGAGAGCAGAGACAGGTGGGTCCCAAGAGCTGCTGGTCAGCCAGCTGAACTGAATCAGCGGGCCTCCAGTCCAGTGAGAGACCCTGTCTTACGGCAGTAAGGTAGAAGAGATTGAGGAAGACATTTCACGTCGTGTTCTGGCCTCACTCATGGGCATATGCACTTGGACAGTCACAACAATGCCTGTAACCCCAGCACCAAGAGAGCAGAGACAGGTGGGTCCCAAGAGCTGCTGGTCAGCCAGCTGAACTGAATCAGCGGGCCTCCAGTCCAGTGAGAGACCCTGTCTTACGGCAGTAAGGTAGAAGAGATTGAGGAAGACATTTCACGTCGTGTTCTGGCCTCACTCATGGGCATATGCACTTGGACAGTCACAACCATGCACTACAGAGAGAAGAGAAGAAAAGAGAGAGAGAGAGAGAGAGAGAGAGAGAGAGCTGTCATCTTTCTGGAAGGAGTTACCTTTACAAGTATTTCAGGAGGAAATTTTTCATTAATTAAAAAAATGTTTCTTTTTAGTATTTAATGTGGATGAGTGTTTGCTTGCATGTATGTAAGTGCACTTTTGTCATCAATGTCCAAGGAGGCCAGAAGAGGGCGTCAGAGCCCCTGGAACTGGAGTTAAGGATGGTTGTTAGCCACAGTGTAGGTGCTGGGAATCAAAGCTAGGTGCTCTAAACTACTGAGCCATCTCTCCAATCCCTTAATTTTTTGGAAAGATTATTTTACTGGTATCTTTTTCTAATGAATAGTGGCAAATTTCCTTTAGGAATGAGCAAAGTTAAGTGACATAATTGTCATTGTGAGCCCTCTGTTTAAAATGGTACACACAACTTCTACAATGTTGTGAAAATTTCTATTTAAAAAAAGAGAAAGTAATCCAATCTAGAAAATGTTATTTAAGGTCATCAAGAGTAAGAAAATAGCCATCATTCCTTATTGTATAAGACATGTTCTCATGTATTACCATGTTTAATATTCACATGCAGGGGCTGGCGTGTGCCTCAGTAGTAAAGCACTTGTGTAACATGGGCAAGGCCCTGGGTTCCATTCTCAGCAATGCAAAAAAAATAAAATCAAATATTCATAAGGATGAAGGGCTTCTGTTTTATCCCTCTAGTAACTGAAGCTCATAAAGATTGGGTATCTTGCTTAAAACTGCAGATTCAGTAAGTTCCTGTGTCCCTTTTTATTTCTGGTTTTACAATTTTCCAGTTTCTTCCCCTTTTTCTATCTGACTCAAGTTAACTTCTAGTTAAGACGAATCAACTCCAGGGAGGACTAACCATATTTGTGCTTTCTGTTTAACCCTTATACTTCTGCGTGGATCAGGGTTTCTATAAGCCTATCTCCTTCATTTAGATGGAGAGATCTCTGGAACTGGCTAACTGGTCCACCAATCAGGATTTCATCCTCCTGGGCTTGTCTGCGGGGAATGGCATCAGGGATGGTCTGTTTGTCATGTTCCTGACTCTCTACCTGCTGATCCTACTGGAGAACATGCTAGTCATCTACCTTATCTGCAGCCACCGTGAGTTGCTCCAAAAACCCATGTACTTCTTCCTGGGCAACCTGAGCTGTTTGGAGATATGCTACGTGTCAGTGACCATGCCCAGCCTGCTGGTAGGCCTGAGGTCCAGTCCATGCCACATGTCATTCACAGCTTGCATAACACAATTGTTTTTATTCATCTCTCTCATTGGTACCAAGTGCACCCTCCTGGCCTCCATGGCTTATGACCGCTATGTTGCCATCTGCTGTCCACTGCACTACCCACTGCTCATGAGGCCTCAGGTCTACTGGGGATTAGCCTTGTCCTCCTGGGTGGGTGGACTGTTGGTCTCTGTGGTCAAGACCACATGCATCGCCAGCCTGTCCTATTGTGGGTCCAATGTCGTCAATCACTTTTTCTGTGATGTTTCACCTCTGCTGAACCTGTCCTGTACCCACGTGGCCCTCACAGAGCTGGTGGACTTCATCTCTGCCATCGTCATCTTCTGTGGTTCACTGTTAGTTGCTCTGGCCTCCTATGTGGCCATTGGCAGGGCTCTGAGCCGCATGACTTCAGCTGCTGCAAGTCACAAAGCACTCTCCACCTGTGCCTCCCACCTCCTGGTAATGGGCATCTTCTACTCCGTGGTCCTCTTCATGTACTCCAGGCCAAGCCACATCAAATCCACAGACCTCACCAAGGTGCTGTCTGTCATCTACACAGTGGCCACACCCATCTGTAGCCCCATCATCTACTGCCTGCGGAACAGGGAGGTTCACACAGCACTGCAGAAAACCCTCCATCTGTGCTGAGCCTCTCATGGGAAGTGATTTGAACACTTTCATCATCAGACACGTGCAGACAAGTTTCAAAGGCAAAGAGAAACACTGTGGAAATTGGGAACATAGTATAAAAAGACTTCTTAAAATCAATACTGGTTCTGGAGAAATGGCTCAGTGGTTAAGAGAACTACCTGTTATTGCATAGGACCCAGATTTGTTTCCCAGCACCCACATAGCAGCTCACAGCCACCTGTAACTCCAGTTCCAGGGGATTCAATGTCATCTTCTGGCCTCCGCAGGCACTGTATGTACATGGCGCATAGATACGCATGTAGGCAAAACACTCATACACATAAAATAAAAATAAATAAAATTTAAAAATCTGTACAAGAAACATGAACATTTCAGGACCAGTGAGATGAGCCTGGCAGCAGGCAAAGGTATTTCCTGCCAAGCCTGACAACCTGAGTTTGATCCTCGGGAGCCACATGGTGGAAGGAGAAAACTGATTCCGGAGGGTTGTCCTCTGAACACACACACACACACACACACACACACACACGCATGCACGCACACCGCACGCGCGCGCACACACACACACACGCATGCACACACACCGCACGCACGCGCACACACACACACACACGCATGCACGCACACACGCATACACACACTAAAGTAATAAAAACAAGAATTCAAAAATAGAAAATTAAATGAAACTGGCTGTGAACAGGAATATTCTTGACAAAGAAACATAACTACTCAGTAAACCACAGAAAGATTGACATCCTCTGTATTAGATGAAAATTTGGAAGAAGACGGCTATCATTACTCCAGTGCTAATACATGCCAGTGGTGAACAACAGTATGTCCAGGAATGGTTGTCACAAATTTAGGACATTTTAAATAAATATTATTGTTTTGAAATGATTGTGAATAACTCAACTATCTGCCAAAAGATTATGTAAATTTATAACATGCTGTTGTGAAAAAAAGTATGTATCAATCAGATACTAAACCAGACCTATGGTTACTGAAGTGTAGGACAAACCAGGTAGGTGATTAAGTTGAAAAATAGGAGGGTCACTTACATGATTGTGTGAGTCTTATAAAACAATAATCAATAATGACAATAATAGCAATTACAGTAAGGTTATTGTAATTGCTAATACACATATATATGTAGCAAAAGTACTCTATACCAAACAGTTGTGTTTTCTTTTGGTATCGCATCTCCTAAAATAATAGTGTGCTGGATAGCTGTAGTGTCAACTTGACACACCTGGGTTGAGGGAGTCTCAACTGGGGAATTGCCTCCATTGGACTGACCTGTGGCCATGTCTGTGAGGCATCTTCTTGATTACTGAGTGACATGGGAGGGCCCAGTCCACTGTGGGCCTGTGTTGCATAAGAAAGCAGGCTGAGCAGGGGCCAGGGAAGCAAGCCAGTAAGCGGCATTCCTTCATGGCCTGTGCCCCAGGCTCCTGCCTCCAGGTTCCTGCCCTGAGCTCCTACCTTGGGCTCCCTGATGAACTGCGACCTGGGAGAGGTAAGCTGAATAAACCCTTTCCTCCCCAAGTTGGTACTGGTCAAAGTATTTTGTCACAGCAATGAAGAGCAAACTAAGACAGAAATTGATACCAGAAAGTCGGATGTTGCTGTGACATACCTGACCTTGGTGTTTTGGGGAGGACTGTGGAAGTGTTGGAACTTTGGGCTGGAAAAGCCATTGCGTGCTCAGAGTTTGTTGTTGTGGAGCTTGGAACAGTTATATTGAAAGAGTTGTGGACAATGGAGGCCAAAGCTTCAAAGGGAAGCAGAGACTATCAGAGATGTTCATGTGAGATATTGGATTGAGAATCTGTGGGTTCTGGTTGGCTGGGGCTGAAGAATCAGCTGTGATTAAGAAGAGACCAG